TTTCACAGATTTTTTTTAATGCATTTGAATCTTTATTCTACAACACAAGCAACATAAATACAATATCTTTTAAAATATTTCTCTTTAGAATTTTCATTTTCACCTTGGATAAAATATACACAAAATACACTGGCAAGCTTGCTTAGAGGGACCTGCTAAATGACAGATTATATCAAATCAAACAGTTATATCAACATATAAAGGAGAACAGTTTTCAGTTTTTAAAAAAATATGACCAAACTGACTAAACATGAAGACAAGACAGATATTGTACTTCCTTGACAAGTCCTTGGGAGTAAACTAAATGCTTCCAGGCTCCGGGTGAGCGGAGCGGCCAGCAGGCTCTGCATTCTGCAGCTCCAATGGCGCATGCTGACTCACATCATTATGGCTATCCAAGCTTCATTTACTTGTAATTTTCAATTCTTTGGCATCACAGAAGAAGAACAAAAGGCCCTTACCACTGGTTGGCTTTATTTAGAGTTGGGAGAGGGTGTTTATAATTGTTTTATTCTCATAAAAAAGCAGGAAAGTCATGTGGAATCATGTCTTTGGGGATGTGAGGGCAGTAAACTCTCATTCTTAGTCCCTCCACCAAAACCAAAACAAGAGACAAAACCCTTGAGGCAACCTCTGCTGCCCCTTCACACCCAGGAGAGCATCCATCCTACCACATGGTTGCAGTGGAAATGGAACCCAAATATCAAAATTATCACTCTCTTTCTAGTTTTGTGGGAAACTTGCTTTTATCAGAGAGAACCATGTGCAACAAACGTCAGATGAGAGACTGCAGTGGGAAGACCACAAGTGGCCGGTGTCGTCACGAGTGGCCATTGATGGTGCCCACTTGTCAGGCTTGAGTTTCCCTCACTTTTAAGACATATTTTACATGTTAGTTCTTAAGTTTGGCTTCTGGATTCTCCCCACTTCTATGGGTACCCATTAGGAAAGCAAATTAAGAATTTTACAATCAATTAGGAGAGCTAAACGCACACCTACATTTCCTAAAACGATTATGTAAAGCAAAGTGAAAGGAAGAAAGCTTAATTTCCATTCACTGGGGCCAGGACTTGATTCACAATACCATGAAGACTTTGATCGACTTTCTGATCTCACTAATTCTAGCACATATAGTTGTGGCTTTCTATGCACACAACAGTCTCAAGAAATTTAAATCATGTCACAGTATTTAAGAAGTCTTCAGAGAAATGATCAAATCAATAAGAATTATGTATAATTAATATAGTTTATAAATGTCATTTTACTTTTTTCTCTCAATTATTCCCTTTGGAAATTTTCTTCCCATTAAAAAAGTAAACAAAGTTAATTGAAAAAAGATTTAAGGAGTAAACTAAGGCTCTATCTGATTGTGAGTTAGCATGATTTTACTGTATTCTCAAAGCATACTGATATACTTTCAAATTTTCCCCATCATTTGGAAGATGAGATGATGAATATGTGCACAAAAACAATTACTGAAAAGTTCCTAAAACAGGCACATATCCTGCTCAAAAAGGAGTTGATTCAGTTTGCAAATTTCCATGAAGCCTTTTGGCAGACTCTTTACAGACATATAAATACTTAAAATACTTACTTACACCAGACAGTTAAAGATGAAGGTACATCAAATAGTGTAGTATGAATTTGATGTACGGATATTTTGGTGACTAATGAGGGATATTAAACTACTGGCAAGCAACTACTCAAAAACTTCTGGAAGCCAGGAGCCAAGCTGTAATGAATTCAACATGGAAACATCTCATTAAAACTGTAAGGACAGAGAAAACTCCAGTACTACATACTTAAATTTAAAATCACCTCAGTACAAGTCAAGGGGTCAACATGGCACAAATGGTCATCTGCAGAATCAGTTTCTAAATACAAAGACGAGAAGCACACACTGATCTCACTGTTTCATAGAACTTGTACATTCATGGTCTTCTAGCTTGTAAAAATCAGTTGTTGCATGATAAACCTGGAAACTGGGAAGATTGAGCAGGAATGCTGTAGAGAATCCAATCCCAAGTTGTCTGCCCAAGGTCAAGTTCTGTTTTTTCTCTAGTGTTTGATCTTAAAGGGAGTAGTTGCAAAACTGTTTTCGGGGTGGTGGGTCTCAGTGCGGCCCCAACTCCAGCAGCACTGGCCTCACCTGGGAACTCAGTGGAAAGACAAGTTCCCAGACCTACTGAATCACTGGGCCTAGGCGCAGCTAGTTGTTTTCACAGCCTTTCTTGGTGATTTTGATGTGAGCCACTATTCTGAAGTCCAAAGACACTAGGTAACTACTACTTAAGCCTTTGTGATACGCAACAGGATAAACAATTCTTGGTAGTACAAAGACTGGAAAGACCATTGTTGGATGGGATTCACTAGTAGCTGACTGATAATGTTACGAAGATGGTCAGTATCTCCTCCCTGGAGGCCCCTTGCATCATTGCACAAAATAGGGCGAAGGTTCTGTATGGGACTGGATGCGGTGTGGATGTGGTGTGATAGTGTGTTTTCTTCAAATAACAAGTGGTAACCACTGTTTGTAAGTAAACAGCATTGTTCTCAGCTGAATTTCTCCTAGACTATTCCAGAGGATACTTGTGTATATTTTTTGGTCTATCTTCCCTGAAGTAATAATTATTTTGGAAAATTAAATATTTTAGTTCAAAACTTTTAAGTTATTCATTACTTCCACATCGAATACAAACTTTATAATACAGAGGGCGGGTGTCTCACAAAAAGACCGTTTTCTAAATTGTTCCCCTAGTGAGTAAGGAGAACTTCTTGATGAGGCATAATTGAGTTCTGTACCAATTTCATAAGTCTTGCCCAACACGCAGCTCATATTTCCAACGATAAGTGCTTAAAACAGTCTTGCACTTCTAAGGCCACTCTGTCTCCCTAGGATTGTGTAATGTTAGCCAAGCATATGTGAGTTCTGTCATTAGGTTACTGCCTGTTTCCTTGTCTGCAAAGCAAGAATAAATATTTAGACGTTATGGTACATGGTTACTGTGGTATTGACCTGATGCCCTCAGTACCTGGATCTTTAAATAACCTTGTTTTACTAGTGGTTTTCTCTTCAGAGTGTGTACACTTTGAAAAATGGTCATTTTGCATATTTCCAAACTTTGATGAGACATATAAATTTAGTACTATATACTTGCCAGGAAGCAAGGAGGCACTGTTGGCTACAGGGCACTTCATTCATCCTAAGTGATGAAATGACAACTGAAAAAGGCGTACAAACAGCATGTGAGTCCAGATACAGGGAATCGTGTTTTTCTGCATAACAGCTGGCCATGAACAACAATATCCCATCATTGCTGCCTATTCTGAGTTCTCTAAATTACCTCTGGAGGTTCATTTTAAGCTGAAAATTTGATTTTGCTTGCTTGCTTTTAAAGCCTTCAAAAAATTAAAGGTACAAATGTATGAACACTAGCTTTCTTCTTAACCATCTCTGGACCCTTTCCCCACCCAACATTATAGTTCTCAGTCAGTATTTTCAGTAATTTAATTCCTTGAAACACTAAAGCATTTACTCTGGGAGTGTAGACATGGTGTGGAGGAGAGAACATGGCCTCCAAATTCAGGACACCTCTCTTGCCACCAGCTTTGCCAAGTAAACCAACTGGGTCTGTGTCCTCATCTGAAAAATATGAGGATTATTGTTTCACAAAGTCTGTGTGAGAAATATGACAACATAGGTAAAGGTTCCTTCACTGGCACGCCACAGTTGCCACCTCCTCTCTGCTGTCCCTTACAAGCTCACAGGCTTTCCTTTAGTTCGATGGTACCAACACAAAAGTGTTCTTCCTTTGTGGGAAAGAAAACTTTTCCTGTATAGTGTGGTGTATTTGGGGAAGCCAAGTCACATATATGTATTAGATAGTTGTATTGTTAAGGCTCTTTGACTTTTAAGAAAACTTCTACAGAGTCAGTTGGAAAACAGTAAGAACAAAAAAATGTAGTGAGATTGTGCCAGAAGTTTCCATTTGGTGTACTTCTGAGGAATGAGTATACTGGGTTTTATGGAATCATGGTGCGTGGTGAGACATGCATGAAGGGAACAGAGGTCTCTACCCACGGGTCCTTCAAATGCTCCTTTGAATTATCTACCTTTTATGTCCCTGTGGAAGTGGAAAGTCATCTTTTAAAATCCTGCATGTCTTTCCTTCAATTCTCTTGACAACCTATACTTGCCTATACTTGTCAGCTGTGTTTAGGGACCAGCAAAGAACATTAAAAGCTGATATGTATGTCAGCATCTGTCTTGATCATCACTTCGTGTCAGAATGGCATGAGTGGCCGAGTGGTGGCTGTGGAGAAGGCTGTCAAAGTCACAGGGAGAGAGAACAGGAGGGTAAAAGAAAAAAAAGGCAGCCCCAGCACCTTATCAGCTAGTCAGGAGATGCCAGAGCCAGAGCACCTGTGGGCAGTGAGCACCCTCCTGCCAGCCAGCCTCTGCCCCCTAGTGGTGTGAGGGCCTGAGGTGTGCTGCACTTGGCTGGCCCATTCAGTTGGCAATTCTTGAGTTATCCAGGTGCTGCTTTTTGTGGTGCACACCTCACACAGTGAGAGAGCAAATGTCGCAGCCTTAGGGTGTAGCACACATCTGGCAGCACAGGCAACTCAAAGCAGTGTGCCAAGTTGTGTTCAGCTAACATCTGTAAAGCCATAGTAATAGCTGTTCCAACTGCAAAGGTGGTCTTGACCTTGGTCTCTGTTGCCATGAGTGTGGAGAGAAACACCTGGCACCTTCCAAGACTGTGCAGGAAGAGGGCCACCATGTGTTCCTAATAATCTCCTCCTCCGCTTCTCTGGACATGAGTCCTAGTTTGTTGACATTATTTGTATCAGGCAATGTCTGTTTTGACAACTGCAAATACTTCTTAGAAGCATCACTGTGACTTAGCTCATTTTCTGGCTGAAATCTGGCATGGATGTGAATCAGAGTATGTCATGAAGGGAGGTTCACTGTGGGCCTCCGGGGAGGTGGCGGGGGTGGGGGAGGGAAGAAAGGGACCCAGCCCTCTCACAGTTACAAGGACAGAGCTGTGAGCCTTCTCCCAACATAGTGACCTCAGGCTGGCTCTAGGGCAGTGTTTAGACCATTTGGAATAAAGGTGTTTTAAAAAACTAGTCGTGGGTCCTATAATGGAATGAATTTTGATTTCGAGACAGCTAACTGCTGGGACATGATCTTCATACATCTGAAACTGATCTCTGGATTTTTATACTTAAAAAAAAAAAGGAGCGGACACCTATGAACAGAAAGAATGTAGTTACTGATTTGATATTCTTCTTCACTGCAACTGTTCCCACAGGCCCCCTGAGGAGTCCTGTGCCTCAAATTCAAGTTACAAAAGCAAAACCATCATGGTGGCCTTTTTGTTAAAGTGACAAAGTTTAAAATTCCAGAGAACAGAATGCAGTTCATTGTTATCCCCAAACAACTCATTGAACAGTTGAGCTGTTTCTAATCTTGAATTATTATTTAATATTGTTTAGTGAGTTAAAATGGAAGGCGAGAATGTTTTGAGAAACTGACTCTCTGTGGTAGTGACTTCTAAATGGCATACTGAATGATAAGGTCCTGTTAAGATTGCCTCGATAAATCACAACTCTGCCTTCCACGGCAGCTTAGAAACAATTTCCACTCACTCTTGTGGATACTTACATAATTCTCAAGACACTGTTTACAAATATCAGCACTGAATAAAACTGTCAGCTGTAAGTCCTTAATTCAATATTGATGAGTTGATGCTTTATTTTTTAAAGATGACACATTTTGTTATGAATACATCTTAGGGGCTGGAAAAACTATAATATAGATCATATCAACTAACTACTTTCTACAACGTATGTGTGAGGGCTGAAAACTTTCAATCATTTTATTTATTACAATACCATAAATAACAGAATTCATTTTCTAGTCATCTTTTGGGGGAAAATCCACTTAAAATAAGAGACCACAGATGTAGGGTAAATTCACCTGCCAGTAAGGAGAAATATTTTAAACTGTTAAAAAAATTAATTTCCTATGCTTTATTTTGTGCCTCCTCCTTTAGTCTTCTGAGACGAGAGCTTTTATAGCTGATACCATAATTTAGTGATGTTGTAAAATATCTTAAGACTAAAATTGATTTCATCGAAATACCTTTCCCACCCCTTCCGGCTTTCCCTACCCCACACCTCCTGCCCCTTCCCTGAGAAGACTGCTCACTGGATGGAGATCTGAGTTCCTTTCCTCCAAGGGTACTGATATAAAATGAGCTGCATTTTAATGTTCTGTTTCTTTTTAAAAACCAAATACTATGTTTAGTTAACTGTGGACCATAGAAATGTCTGTGCAACAAGGGAGTAAGGCACCATTTTCTTTCCTTTTTGGCCTTGGGAGCAAAAGCAAAGACCAGCGGGTCAGCTCAAGTGGCTGCTCAGTCTCTCACCCCCATGCAGTATCTGGAACATTCACTGGGTACAGTGTGTCAAAGGCGATCACACCGCAGACTCAAAACCATGCCAGGAAAGAATTTTCTTCCTTCAGAAGTAGGGAAACAGAGGCATAACCATTGTTATGAACAGAGTAAGTTCATAACGACGTATATGAAGTTGGCAAGTGCCAACCAGAAAAATCTCAACAATTTAAGAATACTTTTGAAATGTTGTGAAGCATTTTACAGAGGAATTCCTACCTTTCTTGATTATGACACCGAAGAATATATTTATCTAGCTTTTCTTGCCCGCCAAACCCATAATTATAATTTAAATCTGCTCCAACGACTGATACCTGGTACTGGGTTTCTGCATGCTTATCTATCAGCTGCATTTAACAGTGGGTCTTTCTTTTTAGCAGTTGTGCTGAAAGTGACCCTAATGCTGCAGGCAAATGCACTGGGAATTAAACTTCAAGACTTAGAAACACTTTAAGGAATGTACTGGACTCTTGAAATAATGCGTGAAACCAGAGTAGCATCTGCGTTATTAGATACAAGTTGGGTATCCAGGTCTGTGCCAATGGCTGATTAGTTTGGGAGCAGCTGACTGGGACACAGGTTTCCGTGGTGGTGACAAGGCTACCAGGGGACCACTTGCTCTCACTGCTGTTTCCTTGTGCTGCATTTCGTCCTGGTGTGGGGCATCTACACAATGATGTCATAGACACGGCCCACTCTGCCCAGCCACTCTCTCACCGCCTGGCGCACTCTGATGTCAGTCACGTGACAGGTCAGTTGGCTGATGCACGGGAACACTGCTGGCTGCAGGGCCATGAAGGTCTGGTCAGGGAGGATCTGAATCTGATTAAGAACTGTTAGCACCATGTTGGTCCAGGCCTAGGACAAAGGATTTAAGAAAAATGTCAGTTTTCTCTGCATTCCCAGGTGTGATGAAGTAATGGCTACCATATATTGTCACTTAAGCTCGCATACATATAAGGAATCGGACTCAGAGCATTAGAAATATCTTATTTTCAGCTTTACAAATGACGTAATATCTATTGCTTAGATTTATAAAAACTTATAACAAGACTATCCTATGCCATTTGAAATTTAAACTACCATGCTCAGAAAATTTGGAATATCTAAATTTATCATAAACAAATTGGGCTCTCCCGAGTGGCGCAGCGGGTTAAAGCACAGCACTAAGAAGCTAAAGCCACTTCCGCATGAGTTTGATCCCTGCCCCAGAGGTGATCCACATGGCGCGATAGACCTCTCTGACCTGCCTGCTGCTCCCCACTCTGTCTCTGGTGAATCCTCGAACCTCTGGCCTGTACCCCAGTTCTGTATGCATAAATCAATCATTAAAAATCATAAGCAAATCTGAGTAGGAACAGCATTGAAGATATCTGTCACCTGTTACAGAATAGCCATACTTCTCAGTTTGACTGGCTACTTTTGCACATCTAGCCCAAGATAATTCTGCTCATGACAGGTGTCTACAATTTCAGAGGAAAAAAACTGCATTAAATGTCAAAAGACTTTCAGATGATTTTTAAGGGTTCTCCAGATATTCTCTTCAGATTTATTTATTTATGCATCCAAGCGCTGGGGCTATAGGCCAGAGGTGTGTGGGGTGGTAAGGATTCACCAGAGACAGAGTAGGGAACAGAACAGGCTGGTCCTATTGAAATACACTGTTGAAGGGAGCAGCAGGTGAGACAGGAGAGGTCTGCTGTTCCCTGGGTGAGGATCAAACTCCGGTGGCTGCCGATAGGTGGATAGAGCTTAGACTTAATCCCTTGTGCCACCAGGGAGGCCCCCCAGATCATCTTTTTGATGGACCATAGAATAGAAATACTAATAGGTTAAATCAACAGGAATCCTGCAAGCCCTCTAAACTACAAGAAACTTTAGGAGGTCAGAAACACGAGATAAAAACAACTCATCGCTATGCATTCATAACATGCACTCTGCCTTTTTATATAATGCTTCCTAACTGGAGAATCTCTTCAATGCTCTCAAATGACTGACTGCAAACTAAAGTCTACCTACTCTCCAGGCTTTACCTTCTTCTGACCAACTCATGAAAATAGTCCCTGCAACCACGAGGAGGGAGTTTCCGTTCTCATGGATCACCGACAGCGCGGTCCTGCCGCTCCCCCCGGGGCCGCCCAGACCTGGGAGGTGAGCTGTCAGCTTTGTCCACTGTGCCTGGTCGGAGGGAGTGTGAGGGGGGTGTCCTGCTGGCACCCACCTGGATCTGGGCTTCGGCATCTCGCACGGAGACGCTCAGGGAGCTCCCGGTGGAGCCCGAGCGAGGCCGCTTGTCCTGCCGCAGCAGCTCGGGGCCGGCGCTGAAGGAGTGCCGCATCTGAGCCTGGTCCACCAGGTGCTGGGGCCGCTGCGGCAGCGGGGAGTGCTGGCCCCTGGGGCCCAGCGGCTCCCCCTTCTTCTCCACTTTGCCCTCTTTGGGGAAGGCGGGCAGGTTGTGCTGCTGCTTCCTCTTCTTGTATTCCGTCATCAGCTTGGCAATGGTCTTGTCGGCAGCCATGGTGTAGATCTTGTTACCCGCGTTCTCCCACCACTCCTTCTTGCGGCCGGGCTCCTTCTTCTCCACCTTGGGGCTGGGAGGCAGCATCTCCCCGCTGCCAGTCCTCAGGCTCAGAGACTCGCCCAGGTGGTCCCGCGCTTGGCTTCGGTCATCTTCAGAGGGGGTGTCTTTGCCCGAGAACCCGCCAGTGGACGGGGTGGAGGACTCCGACTGGAAGGAGGGGAGGATGAAGAACGGATCGCTCTTGAAGATGGGCGCCTCCTCCAGGCTGTTCTCCAGGTCCAGGTGCATCTGGATGTAGTTGTTGCAGAGCTCCATGCACAGCTTGTGCAGCCTCTTGACCAGCCACACCCAGTCTGCGTTGCTGATGGGCTGCACGCTCAGAGAGGGCATGCGAGCCCTCCACTGCCGCTTCTCCTTGCCGCGAGGGGGACTCACCTGCGCCGTCTCCTCAAAGATGTCTTCGTCTTCTGACGAACACTGCTGGGACGAGTCTGTGCTTCTCTCATCGTCCTCAAAGAGGACCTTCTTCACCTGCTCGGCAGTGATGGTCTCCTGATTGGTGAGGACAGCACAGACCAGCGCGTGGAAATAAATGTTGAAGCTCATGGCGGACTGGCGGTAGAGGTTGGCGGCACCCCCGATGCCAGACACTTTCTTCAGCAAGCACTTCAAGCCGGGGCTGGTGTCAAACTCCCTGGCTGTCCTGTACGAGTCCAGCAGCAGGTCAAAGATGACCGCCAGGTTCTGCATGGAGATGTATCTGAGGAAGCCAGCCAGCTTGGTTTCTGGCGCTTGGACAGTCTTCTCCTCTCCAGGAGAGGGCCCTTTGACAAACTCTTCTAACAGGATGTCATATAAGTTCTGGAGTAACACCTGATGAGATAGTAAGCTCACCACAATTTCCCTGAAAGAAACACTTGAGGTGAAAGCAAAGGGGTTGATTAGTAATTTTCTGCCTTCTACCAGTTAGATGAGATTCAGACGTTACACACTTCAGAATGGTACGTGCAGAGTTCATGTCTTCCTTAATCACAATGAATGGAATTCCTGATAGTTTAAATTCTACGAGCTGTTAAGTTGGTATAAATTATGATGGCTTGAATTAACCATAATTAACATGCTTTAGGAAATACATAGTTTTATGAAACTGTTCTGACATTTTCTTTCAGAATTGAGTCGTAATTCATGTTACAATTTGTTGTATTCTAGTCATTTCAGTTGGCCTTTTCCTCTATCCTTTAGTTTATTAAATCCAGTTTTTTTTTTCTTTTTGAGCAATACTCCTGGAGTTTTGTTTTCCAGGGGCCAAACCAGTTTTCTAGGACTAAATGTTAATGTGTCTATGTGTACATATAGATATATAAAGACTTCAATGCTTCTACCATGGGAGACAGAGCCAAACAGTGAACATTACTAATGCCAGTGGCATTACAGGCTAATTGTTTGCACTGTTAATTTTAACTCAAAGCCTCTAAAGTAAACCTGGGTACTAGGCACAGGCCAGATAAGACAGCCTGAGAAGTGAAAGCTCAAATATTTGGTGATTTAGGCCCTTTGATTTGGTTGGACTCAGAGAACAACTTCAACTCGAGGTATTACATTGACTGAGCATTTTAATTCACCAAAGTGGTTTGAGATTTATGATTTCACGTGTTTTTCATTGCTCTTAGCTAATGCTTTATTCTCATGTGTATAGCTAAAACCTTGTAATATAGCAGGAAAAGTTTTTTTTTAATTTTAGTGGAAAAGAACAAAAATCCTTGCCTACATTGAAATGTTTATTTTTTTGTGCAGTGCTGGGATGAGTAACAAAAAGTTGTCAGACAGCCACCTAACAAAGTGTGGAAGTATATATGATATTGTTTTAACCATTTCAAAAAGTACAATAGCAGAGCACAAAATTGGGCAATCGCTACTCTCTATTTCTAGACCATTTTCATCATTCCAGTAGACACTATTAAATAACTCCCTACTTCTACTTAAGTAATTTCTGACAAGTTACTCAGGAATGCATTTCGAGTTTATCTTATGGAAAAGAGGGCCCAGAGAGCCACCAATTTGTTCTAGTGCTTCACAAGCCTAGGGAAAGAAATTCTTTCATGGAAGACTCAAACCTATTTCCTGCCTCTCTTCCCCCTGCATCCCAAGTCCTCCAGGGAAGGGGCAGTATCTTATTTTCTTGTCCCTAGGAAAATACCTGGTAAAAGTAGCCCTAAGGTTCTAAAAAAGACCCCAGAACACCAGCTGGGCGGCTGCCTGAACTTCCCCACCGGAGGGTGGATTCTGTTTGGGAAATGGTCCTGCTGGAGGAAGCACAACTAGAGGGTGAGTCTCACCAGCCTCTACTGGCAGCTTCTGTTACCTTTCCTGAGAGAGGGAAAGTCTTTTGCTAGCCTCCAGTTATGGCAGACAAAACATCATGTGAAGTACTCTAAAATATTCTGTTTGATGCTTTAGGATACAGCTAAAGATGATGCAGCAACAAGAAAATGAGGAAGCAGCATATACAGAAAGTATCAAACTCAGAAAAATCCTAAATTGATATCCAAGTGTTTCAACTTCTTGGTCAGCAGACCCTTGAAGGAAGTGACTGATGTCTTCCTTCCCTGCTTAAGTGAGAATTATCTGCATGTCAGTATCAGACTATTTGTAATTTAATGCTCTGATGAAGCCTATGTGGATTATGTAATGTCAGCACAACCTAGAGGAGTCCAGATTTTTCTTTAATATTGCAACCTGGTTTTAACTTAGATTCTCATAGGTCTTCCCACATTGAAAAAAATATATCTCACCAATCTATGGACAAACTTGACTCAGGTCAAACTCCTCTCCTGCCACACCTTGTGCTAAATTAAGAATTTCCTCTAAATCCAAGATTGCAAAATACACATTTGGTTGACAGCTTCTATTGGGGAGTATTTTTTGGCTCAGGGTTTTCTATTATCTATGGAATACATTTTAAGCCAATAATGTAGGAATAGTTGATTTTCCTGTCAAAGGGAACTGAAACTATATAGGAAATTTTAATCAAAAATTTGAAATAGTACACAAAAAATATGAAGATGACTAATGTTTTAAAACCAGGCTTGGTGGCAGAGAGTAATGGGGACTATTGATAAAGCTTTATAATTTCTAGGTTTTTAATCAAATTGCTATGAGCATACTAAATGGTTTTGATGAGTGAACCAGTCTCTCTAAATGGGAGTGGAGACGGCTAACCACTGCCTCACATACGGGCCTCCAGTTCTCACCCTCCTGTCCGTGTGCTAGAAGCCTAAAGACAGGAACCTCAGTCTCTGCCTTCATCTCCAACACGAGGAAGCGCTTTCCTAATGGTGGCTCGTATTGACAAGGAGGCAGGTCTCTTGCGGCACATCTCCTCTGTCTCTTGATCACCGTATGCTCATAAGAACTTTGTTTCGCACATGGAAACAAAATGAATCATGCCTCAAATTAGCTGTTTTTTTAAAAAAATTACATACATGATGCTATAGATGGAGGAATAGTGTTTAACCCCCAGCTCCAAATTCCTATGTTGAATCCTAACCCACATTACCTCGGATTTGACAGTCTTTCTAGAAAAGGTCTCTCAAAAAAATAGTCGGATGATGTAGTTAAGATGGGTCTTCCCCAGCACGGCCGGTATCCTCATAAGAGATTAGGACACAGGCAGCTGCAGGGGAAGGGCCCTTCTCTGCTGACGTGACCTCAGCCTCTCCCTTCCATAATGGTGGGAAAGGATCTGCTGTCTATGCCACTCAGCCTGTGGTACTTGGCTATGTGACAGTTCTAGACAACTCATACGTGAGAAGTGCGGGAAATCTGGCTAAGGTACTGATAGCCTTTAATGAATATCTTTGCTGAAAACTCCACAAACGTTTAAGTATTCTGGGCAATTGGAGGACAATGAGCAGAACTGGGACTAAATACTGGCCTATGAACAAGCTCCCTACATGTTGAACCTTGCGCTTACCTTTTCTTGGTGTGTCCATTTGGCTTCTCATCAGGAGGAAGCTCAATAATGAGCTGACAGGACTGAGCATGATCGAAGTTGTTTGGAGTCTTTGGTGAACACTGGGTGTCCAACATAAACACCTGCACCAGAAAACAAAGGCACAGGTCAGAACTTCACCCTCCATGCCCAGAGTCCACCAGGGCTCCGCTAGAGGGCCCTGACACTGTCCACTCAGTTTCTTACCTGTAAAGCAAGGAAGGAAGTGGTTTCTTACTTGGTATGTTTGCTGAGAGTTAAGTGAATTAACATGTGTAGTACATAGACAGGTCATTAGGGTAGGAGAGTAAATACTCAACATAAGCTGCTGCTACCAGTAACACAACTACTTCTGCCACATAATTTATTACTATTCAAATAGCAAGTACTGACATTTAATATTAATTAAAAGTAAATAAAGAAGGGCTATATTTGTAAAATGACCTGCTCTGATTCTGACATTTGTTTGGAATCGTAGTCTATGCAACACAGGAATGAGAAATAGGGACTCTGTTGGGATACCCGAGGTAGTCAGGAGTGGCCACAGGAAGCAGGCCACTCCAGCGCTCTGCTGCAAACGTCTGCACGTTCCCTTCGCCACTTCCCTTCAGAAATAAAGTATTTTAGGGGAGCTCTTTCCCCCGAGATTTTGTAAGAATAATCAGATTAGTGAATAGTGGACTATTTTCAGAGTGAGTAAAGGTTTGAGAACTACTAAGAAGTAAATGATCTCAGCTATTCTTCTCCACCAATGAGGTCCTGTAGAAGAGGCTCCCACTGACATTCTCCACCCCTTGCGATGTGCCAGGAAGAGTCCTCACCCAGCCAGGTGTGGCCAAAGCTACCTTTGGGGGCCACCCTCACAGCTTCTCCGCAAGGGTTCCTGGCTGTACTTGATGGCCACAGTGGCCTTGTCATTGGGAAGTGGCTCCTCGTTACAGCCTGACATCACTTCTTTTGTCCCAGCCTCTGAGGACTGGAGACGGATGTTGTTCTCTCCCTTCCTGACAGGTAGAAGTACCTGTCCCAGGGTGCCATGTGCTCCGCAGGTGATGTGAGAAGCTGAAAGTGGAAGGTCTTTGCCCACTCTCTGTAGTGAGGAAACCTCCAGGAACCAACCTGGTCTGGAAACTCCTCGACAGGAAGGTGGCTGTGTTCACACCCACAGCACAGCCTGAGTTACCAGTGTGCCGAGGGAACATTTTGCTAAGCAAGTGAGTACGCCTTATGGCAGGGGAGCCTTCTGAATACTACCCTGAAATCTCTGTTTCAAAAGCTGCGTATTTTACACATGTGCAGATTACCCTCTGCATCTGTATGTGTTGCTACTGCATGACGGCGTTTAGCCAATGACTTTTGGGGATTTGTTTTTTCTCTCTATGAACAGCATGGTTAGGAGATATGTGAACTTCAGAGCTAAAATGAACAGGCTTTCTTGGAGGTACAGCTCGTGCAACTCACTGACACCAGCACTTAAAGTGCCTCCTCTGTACGCCTTGCGCCAGGCAGAGTGCCAAGGCAAGTGCGCAGAGGCTGCCTCTTGTGCTTCTAACTTGTGACCTCTGACGCTCAAGAAGACCGTCACTGGCACATGCGAGTCCTATATGGGTAAGTACAGCTGAACAGTGAAGGTCCCCTCAGATGTATGAAGCTCTCTATGGAAGCATAAGGGGGAAGAAAATCAGCTTGCCATCCACAGGCACTTATAGCCTGGCAGTAACAAGGTTTGTGCAAATAACTAGACTATAAGCAATCCGAGCGAGTCCGCTTATGTATGTGGTGGAGAGGAGAATGACTGTTGATGGGTAGAGATTGAGGTCCGTCCTAGTGAAGAGAGCAGCAGAAGGTATGAGCCAGGAGGTATATGTCCCTCGTGAAAGGAAGGAAACGGAGTGTGCTGAGACCTTCAGGAAAGACCCTGAGCTGTGTCTCAAGCCGGGTGAGCACCAACCTTACCTGCTGAGCCATGGCTCGGATGCGCCAGTATTCGGCCTCGGCACTGGGGGAGGAGGAGGGTGCTGCCACCCTCACCTGGCAGCCTTCTCCACTGAAGCTCTCGGTGCCGCTGTGGAAGCAGCCCAGCAGATCCTAAGGGAAGCACAGCAGGCCGTCAGTGGGTGCGTCTGGACTCACGGCTCCAGGACCTGACCTTGCCACTGGGTCTGGCACAACAGTACTGATCCAGCAGCTGCTTTCTCACCATGGGCAATATTCCAGGTAAGAGTGCCTGCTGTGAGGAGGAGGGCAGGACACATGCCCCCAGTGTGATGAGGCAGCAGGCTGCTGGAGCCCTCGCCTCCCAGAATTTACCTTCACTGGCTTCAGTGTGGCAGAGAAGGCATCCTGCAGCGCGCAGCAGGCCAGCCTCCACATTTCCTCCGTGAACACAGGGCCTGCTGTCACCAGGACGTATCTGCCGAGAGGAGAAACAGGACAGAAGTCTTGACTCTTAGAGCTACAAAACCTAGGCTGCTAGCAGCCCCGTTTCCTTGCAAGTCTTGCTGTTCTTTCATTTATGCCCTCTGTCCAGCTAGTAGCCCATGCTCAAAGTACTGTTTCCTATGTGATTTTATATTAAAACTTCAGTGGAGCCCTATTAAGACTAAATGCGAATACTGGCTTATCTGATGTGTAGCAGACAGTGGAAGCCTACTTCATGCCACCTGTTCTTATCACCATTTGGCTCAAGCTGTTCGCCACAATCCAAGCTGACCTCCCCTGGGGGATATGAGTCTCTACTGCAGCAAGCCCTCCAGGCCATCTCACACCTCCTGACCTTTCTGGGCATCTGTACTTACAGGAATCTGACATGGCCTGGAATAGGGACCTGCCATTCATGGCTGCAGACAGAGTACCTTGTATAATGCCTGCTACAAGAATGAAACGAATATCAACTGTCATTTTTACTTATAAAAGCATCTAAGACATAGGTTGCTACTATTAAGTGGTTATTTAATTCCCTGGATTCCATAACAATTCCAGTTTTATGGAGAGCCGGGGCCCCTTTTCTCACCTAATGCAGGAGCAGCCCACTCTGGAGATGGTTTCTGTGGGCTTGGCCACACAAGCCACCAGTAACTCGAAGAGGTCCTTCAGCATGGTGTTGATCAGGCCCTCATACCTGATGTCTAAGGGAGAAGTCAAGTCAAGATTTGAGTAAAGTAAAATCAAGTCACTCGACTTAATTGTAAATGACATCTACTGCAAAGGAAAACAGTGACTGAAAAGATCTATATGTGTCTGGGGGAAAGAAAGGAATGAGGAAAACCATGCCTCATTAAAACATTTTTGAATTTATCCTAATATAAGTCTACTATTTCATGAATTTCTAGTTTAAGTAGGTACAAATACCTAAACAGAACATATATCCTATAACACTGTCCAAGTCAAGGAAAATATGTCTTTTCCTGCCCCAGAAACAATGTTCAAGAGAATTCTCAAGCGTCCCTCCTGTGTAAAGCAATGGCCTAGAATATCTATCTCCAGGTCATACTCATCGCTGACCTGGAGAAAGACCCTCTTCTCTAATTACTGTTCACTTTGGTTTCTGGTTTTCCCTAGGAGCAGACATTCTCATTAGTTTCTCCAGCCTCTCCAACAAGGGAGCCCCTTTACTTCTCCCTGTATCCGTCAGCATGCCTTTCCCTTTTCTTTATAACCTTCAGGGTGAGAGTCTCGAGGGTGCGCTGTCTTTCACGCTGTTACTGCATTAGTATCACAGCTGACATTCGGTCTACCACACACTCACAGATCTTTTTATAAGTGCCAGACATTAGGTGCTTCTCGCATCTCCTCTATTTAGCCTGCCAGGTGCAGAAGAACAATAAGCCGCCTCTCTCCCCCAGCTACGATCCTCTGAGTAGATAACAGACATGTAAGGCACTGCTTCCCCTCTAATGCCCAGATAGCCTGGGCCTATTAGGTACTTTATTTTTAGTTACACTGCTACTGGATAATTTTGCATAAGACAACTAGGTACCAGTGACCTCTTTGATAATTTACTGTTAGAAGGTTAGTACTGATTGTGTGATTCTATTCTAAAAGCGCTCAGGACAAAAACCATGTACTGGTGTTTGCATTAGGTCCTTACTAAGCCATTTTGGTCAAGCTGCCTACTGAGAACTAGTCTGACCTACAGATACCTGAGTGGATGAAGCTTTGAATGTGTTCCACCACCAGCTCACAGGACAGGCCAATGGCGTGCTTGAAGTTGGCAGAAGCTACATCCCAGTAAGAATGGTCTTTATGGCTGCGACGGAGCCAAAGGGACATCACAGGAAGGAGAAGGTGAACAACTGCATAGATGCCAAATCCTGGTCCTGAAAAACAAGGTCAGGATGACCACTGCGACCCCAGCATCTCCCCTGTAACGAAAGGAATGCTCTTTGCTATCACTTGGCATCGCCAATCTGCTTTGAAGCTCTCTATTCTCTCTCGAAGGTGCAAGGAAAAAAAATCACTGCTGACTTGGGAACATCTGGTGGTCAATCCCTTAGTCTCCAGATGTGAAATTACAGGTACATGTACTTATATTTGAAAGACTTAGATGCATATATTTATATAAACAGAACTTTTTATTGCTTTCATATACATCAGCTAATGTAATCCTGAGTGAGCCATAGTGATTTTTTTCTTGCCATTTAACAAAGTGTTAGAGATCATTCTGTGTCAACAGTTCAGACCCCCCCTTTTATTGCCACTAATTATTCCACTTGCCCCTGTTATTCCACTTAATGTCTATGGAGCAGTTGACTTATCAATTCCAATGCTGATGGATTTAAAAAACCCCGATTATAATAGCAAACCCTTTTTATAATAAACATAGAAAACCCATGACAATACAAAGGAAAAAAAAAACTTATCCAGACAGATAAACCTGCTTCTATGGATTTACTTCGAGTACTTCTTGAATGCATGGGTATTTATAAATGCATACCATTTCATAAAGCTGAGACTATACTCAATAGGCTCTAAAATACCTTGTAAAAAGTTGTTCATGTTTTTAAGTAGTATTCGCAATGTTTACATGTTTTTTATCAGAATGTAATTAGACCATTTAGATGTTCAAAATACTTTTGGTATTCAATATATTCTGCAAACATATATAGAAAACTTGTCTTCACGACTGTTAATTCTTTTGATGATAGATTTCTAGGAGAGTGATTATTAGGTTAAATGTTCTTCAGTTAGTAGTAATGTAAAAAGAGAAAATGGTACTGACCAAGAAAATAGGGGCATCTAGTTAATTCAAAAGTTACTTGTAGATGGAAAGCTTTCCACTCTGAATATGGGAGCAGTTTGTGTTGAATAAAATCTCCTCTTATTACACTGGCATTAACTAGTGGTTTCATTGTGGTTTTGATTCTCAGTGAAAACTCAACCTTTTGTAACATTTTTCTGATCTTGAGAAAAATATGTTTGCATACTAACCTTGATTAATTTGTTCCAAAGGACCATTCTTTTCCTGTACTATCAAAGTATCAGGTGATCACAAAGTGTCTTTTATAATCAGGATGTTGCTGCCTTTGTCAGTGGGAGGCTGGTTGAGCCCTACTGTTCTTACTGGGGCCCAGAGTATGTGAAATCCAGTCAGAGAGGGAAGCTGGAATCACAGAAATAACAAAGCACACTGGCTGATGGAGGCCCTGAATCCACAGCCACTTGCCCCTGTTATTCCACTTAATGTCAAGCTGTTGTGAGGCTCTAACACACCAAACTGAGCATCCATTATGCATGATGCTTTGTGCTAGGTTTGGGGTTACAGCAGTGAAACAGGTAGACACAGAAATACTTCTCTGAAAACAGTGATAACAACTCTCCCAAAGACAGGCACAGAAGTATTTACCAGGTGTTTTGGTTACATCTCTCAGTAGCTCAAAGAGTAAGTCTAAGGTCGGCGGTTGGTGCTGACGGGGACAGTTGGACACAGCAGCTGTCAGCTGCTCCAGCAGGATGATCCAGACTTCTATCAGACCTGGAAACCACACAGTTCCAAGAAACATCACACAGACTTCCTGCAAGAACTCAGCATTGCACATAAAATAGCCCTAGGGGATGTGAAGTGCTATATAAATGTGAACCAGCACCCTCTAAGGTAGCCCTCCAGACAGTTTTTGATTTAGATGTTCTGACAAAGTCAAAAGAGAAAAAAAGTGCTCAGAGTTTGTCCTTATTCCTCTTTAAATATGTACATAAATTACGTGAAATGACTGTCAGATTTCTTGGGTGTTGATGGTAGGATAGTATCCTTTAACAAAATTGTATATCTGCATGGATCAAAACTGTCATTTAAAACAATGTTATGTCCACAATTCAGTGGTATTAATTTCAGGCAGTGTTGTTCAATTCTGTGTCTATTTCCAAAACTTTCATCAGTTCAAAGACAAACTATTAAGCAGTAACTATATACTTCTAATCCTAGCTCTAGGTATAAAAATAGAAGCATAATTATGTCTAGGTTTCCTGATGTTAACTTTTGCTTCTAGTTAATTTTTTTTGTTCTTCTAGTGCCACATTTTTTCAAGAATCTGACATCTGCATGTTTTTTGGCAATCTAATAAATCACTTTTCATTTTCATGTCCACAGCACAGCTCACAATTATATATATACATATACAAATTAGTACTCATAGTGGGGGAAATGTTGCTCAGAGTATCAACAGGCTTATTTTCCCTGAGCATTATATACAGCCCTCTTCCGAGTTTCAGTTCTAAAAAAGGACACTAACTTCTAGTGCACATTAAGGCAAAAAGCACAAGAGTCTTTCTGTGTGTGTGGTCCAAACAATTCTTGCTTCGTCATTGACATAGGCAGGAATGTTGACACACAGGGCTGATGGCTGTCCTCTGAAGTATGTGAAGTGAGAGGGCTTAAGTTTCTTTAACTTCATATAGAAAAAGACTTAGGATGTAAAAAAGCCCACCCTACATTTGAATTTTAGTACTTCTAATTTTTCTGCAAAAGATAAGCATAAGAAATTTGTGGTTATTAAATAGTTCTATAAAAAGTTTCTGTAGTTTTTAATACCTCCATAAGTAGGAGGCAATCATCAAGCCCATGGACAATAAACATCATAAAACCAGGTGACAAGAAATTCTTAAGACCCTCACGAAATCAGCAGGTGTGGCAAGCAAAGTTTACAGGTAATGCAGCCAATCAAACCTAGGTGGAAAACTCCATAGGACAAAGGACTTCAGTTCTTCAACAAATACACTACAAAGCAGTTAAAAAAGAGAGAGGGAACCTGAGTATTGAGAAAGAACTTATGAAACCTATCAGCCAAACCTATAATGTGATTCTTGTGCGAATCCTGAAGGGTTAGAAATTTTATCACTGACTGGTGTTTATGTTACTCAGAAACTGTTAATTTTGGGGTGTGATAACATTATAGTTGTGTTTGTTATCTTTAGAGAACACAATGAAACAGTTATAAATGAAAAGCTACAATGCCTGGGATTTTCTTTAAAATAATATGAAATGGATGAAGTGGCTGGGGAGTGAGCAATGTACTTGCAGGTATACAGTTGAGAAGGGCTATAAATTAGCCGCAGTTGAAGCTGGGTGAGGAGTAGAAGGTCCACTATACTATTTGGTCTCGTTTGATATATGTCTGAAATGGGGTGTGAGGGGGAGTATTTTTGGCCTTTCGAAGTCAGAGGGATAATATCTACAAATATATCTTAAAGATTTTACTTTTATTCTTCCCTCTGATATAGTTAGCTTCATATATAACTTCAAAATCTGTAGTGACTTTAAAATGTGGGGAATTTTAGGTTGGTCCTTGGCTGAATTTTTTTCATTAGAAGCTGCATTGCCTAAAAAACATAGGTTAATGATTGCGCGGGTGACAGGAAATGTTCACTACAACACATACAACCTGTTCCCATTGCTTTAAAGCCTACATTAAGATAAGCAACATGAGCTTCTGCTTATAATTGCCTAGCTCAGAGGTTTAAGATACTAAGTAAACATTATTCTTACTGAATCATATAGCCAATATATAATAGTTATAATGTTCTCTATTTTAGATATTTTTTTCTATAGTTCTTGTTCTGTATAGTTTCCTTAAAATTTGTCTTAACTAGTCAAGTTTTACTACTTTTGTTCTGTAAGGAAAGCTATAAATCATCTAAGCCCCCATGAATGAGTTTGTAATAGAATAAAAAACACAAAAAATTAAAAAACAGCCAAGAGAACCCAAAAGTTTTTTTTAGCATGGATTTGAAACCTATGTGCACATAGTAAAACTCTTTAAGACTATAATTTCCATTTCCAGATTTAAGAATAGCCCATGGTCATCTGAGGCAGAAGACAACAGGTATAAGTACACCCTACCACATCTAGAAATTATCCCAAGTTACTAGAAATTGAACTCCAGTGCACAGGAAATTGCATGGAAGCTAATTTGAAACACATTCTTTAAAATTATTCTTGTAATGAGTTTTCAGTTAAACTAGTCACAAATAGAGCCTCTCTTTAGTGATGACTTAATTCCCCCAATCTCTCATCAAATAGTCCTGCAGGAAGTAATTACATAATGATTATGGTTCCTAGAAGGCATTAAAGACAATTACCAGCCAACTTACCACATTCCAATTTGCTAACTTCAGGAGAATTCAGTCAGAAACTCTAATGGGACCTGCAGCACTCACTTTACAAGGAGGCCTCCCTCTAGAACGGAGGGCGTGGAGGCACTCTGTATAAAATGATGTTTTTGGAGAGCCCATGGAAACTTCAGGTGGGCTTGTTTTGTCATAATTACAAACAATACCATCAGAACTGAAGGCCATTCTTAGACGCTATTGCAGCTGGTTTAGCCGTGCCGTAAGCCTCATCAATGAGCACATTAAATAACCTGGTAGTTCAGTTAATTAACTACCTGTGTCATCATCAAAGTCAGACAGAACCGACTCAATTCCATCTTCACTGCTGGCTGACTGCTCCTGAAGTCTTCGAGGCAAACTAGCCAGTCTTCCACTAAGGAATATTGGCTTTAAGGGCATTTTGTAGATTTTAGCCAATAACTAAAAAAGAAAAAGAAAAATTGCAATTATCATTGGAAAAAGCTGCATTTTAAGGGCTAAAGAATAATAAAATTACACAGCAGTAACAGGAGGAGAGAAAATCAGTAGTTCTCAGCATTTGAAAAATCAAAACTGAGTTGTGATTTGGGTTCACAAGGTTGCTCACAAAAGCATTTATCCATGAAGCAGGCATAACAGCAGTCCATGGCAACAAAAAGAGGAAAACAGCTCTGTGGATATTTTCCCAGCATCTTATTTACATGAGAGTTTTATAGATTTTTTTATAAACCTACCAAGGAAACCACAAAACGTGCCAAGAATTTTTGTCTGTGGAAGAAAGTGCCCTGTGGGGATTCCTAAGAAGAAAGTCTATAGGTAAGTGGGAAACCAGACTGATTCCCTCTCCCTGACTCCACCACAGGCTGGGCGTGCGAGCAAGCAGAAATGGTGGCATCTGTGGGGAGGTGAGAGAGAGAAGGCAAGAGAGATGGACATGAGCTGCCTGGGCCCTTTACTCCTTGCTCAGTACTAGTTTCCAGGACCCTGGAGACCCCCGTCCTGGGACAAGCTCCCAAGGATCCTTATAGCTTCATGAATTGGAATTGTGCCTGCTGTTCTAGAAACCAGGCAAGCAGCTGTGAGTAAAACTGACAAAATTTCTGTGAGTCTGAGACAATCCTTTCACGATAATAATTTCTCACATAAATGCCACAGGAAAAATGAAACAACGATTAAACATTAAAAAATAAACAATGAGGGAGTATGAGGGGAAGGTGGCAGGGAGCTGACACTCAGGTGGAGGCCGTATAAGGAGGTGATGTTTTAAATGAGAGCTGGAGGGTAAGGCGTGTCCAACAGGTATGATAGGAGAAAATTCCAGGCAGAGGGAACAGCAAAGGCCCCAAGTGGTAATGTATGAGGTGTGTGGGAGGGACCGAAAACCAGTGTGGCTGGGACCAGGCAGAGGGAAGGGTGCCGGGGGTCATGACACGTGTGTGTGTGTGTGTGTGTGTGAAGGCAGCAAGCAGAAATGGTGGCATCTGTGGGAGGTGAGAGAGGTCAGGATGTCCTGAAGAGGCTGGGGATGCCACCCAAGAGGGAAGGGGAAACTGCTGGCACAGGGTATGGCTGAAGCCTCGATGAGCAAGGGCTTCGGTGCGGGGAGTGGTGTCTGCTCCCCTGGCAGTTCACATGAATAAGGACAATTACTGGATTTCGTACAACCAAGGTCCCAGTTCACTTTGATAAATAAGCACTGCTTTACTTTTCTAGGTTTGTTCCCTTGCCGTGCTTCTTGGCGCCATCAGGGAGATTCCCTGTGACCTCAAAACCTCTCCCCTTACTGCCCCCCACAGATACAGAGATCACTGCAGTTCCTGCATTTTTGTAAAGATGAGACGTTTCAGGGATGTCACCATCTTACTGTGTTTTCGATCACATTTTCATTATTTTTTTCCTCTCCTTCATGGGAGGGTTAGGGATCAAAGTTTCTACTCTAAATATAAACCTCAACTTCTTCAGGAAGAACAGAAAGGATTTCTCCTGGGCTTCATGTGTGCTTTGCAAATATCTTCTGAGGCCTGTCTCAGGGCCTGGGGATCACAGTGAGCTCCCTGTACCTGAGAGCAGCGCCTGAGGTAGTCCAGGGCAGGGAGGCACAGGTCTGGGGACGTGGCTCCAGGTCCCGGGACACAGTCTCCAATCTCTTTACAGTCTACCTCCCCTAGAGCGGCACAGGGAGACAGAGACAGACAAAATCACCCTGGTTTCCCCCTTACAACAGAAGACCTATTTATTCATTCAGCATTAATTCACCAAATGTCTAGTGAAAAAGAAGAAATTAGCCCAGTTGCACAACCCTGAGGAAAATCCTTTCCATCACCACTCTCCTCCTCTTCTCCCACCCCCACACCTGAATGTGTATAGTGGAGCCTGCACTGTGCACCTGGCTTGTTGGGGTGATTCTTCTGTTTGTAACTCCCCTTTCACTAGGGAAAAATGACCACTTTTCCATATTCTGCCACAATCCTTTTCGTGGGTGGATGCTGTTCCTTTGTACCTGGGCACACGGATCAGCCACCTGTCCGGGTCCCTGCTGCTGATGCTGTGACTTGGGAAGCGGTGATGCCACAGGATGCTCCCGGGACAAGGGTCACTGGGCTGATGCACTGGACTCCCTCTCTCTGGAAAAGGAGCCCAACTGCGGCCAGTGCCCAGCACTAACTGAAGACCCCGCAGCTCTAAACATCTGAGGTTTGGGGATGGAGATCACTAAATTAAAATGACGTCTATCTTTTTGTCCTTACCTAGAGATATAACAGAGATCATACTTCTCTAAAGAACAGTGAAGATATAACAAGGATCATACTTCTCTAAAGAACAGTATCTACAGTAAATAGCAGTTGAGAATTATCATTTTTCTTCTCCACGCAATGAATCTATTTCTATACTTCTAATAAAATCATTCCACAGTACTGTAGTTGTTCCTAGTTGTCTATAGTTGTAACAACTAGCGCCCTCCCTGTGGATTGTGGATTGAAAGAGATAATTACTAGCATTAGCTAAAATTTAGAAGCAAAGAAACGTGCTTTCCTAAGAAAAACATTTCTTGTTTTAGACCAGGCGTTGGTTTTTTTTTTTTTTTTTTTTTTTTTTTTTTTTTTTTGGTACAGGCTCAGTGAGTAATAGGCTTTGCAGGCCAAACTTTTATTTTTTGCAACTTCTCAATTCTGAGCTATGGCATCAACAAAGCCACAGACAGATGCCCATCACTGTGTTCTAATAAAACTTTATAAAGCCTTTCACTAGGTCAGATTTGACATGCAAGCCATAATTTTCCACCCTCTGGTTTAGATCACCTAACAATATAAAAACAGAGACAAGGTCAAATTCATGTTGAAATAATCAAGTAGGAATTAAAACTAAATGCATTTTTTAATCTTGTTGATTATAGTGAGCGTTCAAATTATTTGCTACCATTGTGGCGTTAAATAGCAAAGTTTATGCAAACGGCGCCCCCTGGAGTCAGAGGCAGTGAATCGCCAGCAAAGCTGTGCTGCACTGAAACCACACACAAACGTAACTCAGAAAAAATAGAACCACTCTGCTTATACATTCTCTATGTGCACACTGACAATTCTGCCTCCGTTTTCAGGGCCCAAGTCCTTCCCTAAGATTAAAATCTCCTGTTTCTAACACACTGCTAGGTGTCCAAATACCCAAGGATGGAATTCATCCCTTTGTCCTCTCCTTCACATTACCCCACTCTCCTGGATGTCTAATTCTCGGTTACATCTGTTCTTGGGGAACCATCAGCTCAGCTGCTCCTCTGAGTTGCCTGGGACTCGGAAGCCCCAGGTACCACTCTCAACATTCTACCCTGTCGACTGTCTCCAAGCACCAGCTGCACAGGTCTCAGCCTGCAGCCCCTGGCCCTACCTGGAGGGACAGGCCTGCTGCACCTGCCTTTTGGTATGATCTGTGACTGTACCCCTCTGCCCCACACACTCCACAGTCCCTGAGGTGGTCTGAAAGCTCTTCACAGCTGGGCACTTCCTTTCTCTCCAGCTCTCTACCCCTGTCCTGCTAGTGGGTCCTGCCAACGTGCTCTGTATTTTAGAAAAGTAAACCTGCACCTTACTCCACAAAGTCCAAACATCACTTCCTTTTTGTAGCCTGCATGACCCCACTTCAGCTGCATGTTCGTTTTAACTTAAGTGACTTTTTTCTTCCAGCCTCTATTAAAGTATTCATCTTAATTATTGATTTATGTGTCTGCTTCCCCGAAGAGGCTGTCAGCTTCTCGGCAGGAAGCATGTTTTATTTATCTCTGTTATCCCCAGGGCAAGCGCAGGCCACCAGCCCACAGAACAGGCATTCAAGCACTGTTCAGCAAACAACACAGTTCCAATAATGGTGTTTTTCCAAATGAAACACAGGACTGTGAAATAATAGGAAAAACATGTATGTGTATATAGAGATCAATGTCTCTGTCCTGGTTCTGGCACCGCGCCCTAAGCCCCTTGCTAGTTCCTCAGTGATAAGAGCAGGGGAGCATCTTTTGTCCTAAGATTTGGAGTCTGTCCCCACCTGCCTCCTGAAGCAGAGCTCTTTGACCCCTGGGAGCCCCCTGGGTGACAGGAATGCCTTTTGTTCTGACGAGGTGACTGGGGGTGAGGGGTTTGGGGGGGCTCCTGGCTGGGGGATGCTCACAGAGAGACCAACCAGTGATTAGAGAGCTGGAGGTCAAGCCTGCCTCCCAACCCCCATTCTTGAAGCGCAGAATGCAAAGTAGGTAAGTGAGGGGCTGCCTGGTCCCCCAGCTCTGTCCTCTGCATCTCGAAGTAGATATAATCATAGAGCCTAACCAGGCTGGCCTCTGGCCTCTATCCTCTATTCTGGCCCAAAAACAAGGGGAACAGGAGTGGAGGCACCTAACTTTGTGCTGCCCAGTTTTCTTTGCAAAGGAAACATCAATTATTTAGCAAGACTATGAACAAGTACTATGAATCTTCTAGTCTCATTTAAAGGTCCTCAGCGTCCATGTTGACGAGCACTCCATGGTGGGATCTCAAAGCTTTAAACTCAAGCTGCTTCCCAACTTTTGGTGAACTGCCCCTGCCTTCCACTGCGCCCCAGCTAAGCCGCTACTCTATAAACCCTGCTCCAGCAGGCCGTGGTGTAGAGCACAATCCCACCTAGTTAAAGGATTCTTCAATTATGCCTAAACCAACTTTCAGGTCATTTCTAAAGTACATGAGGCCTCCAGAAAGGTGGACTTTTAAATTTCCAAAAGAATTTTCTGGTCAGTCAGGCCCTCAAAGAGGCATTTTTAATTTCTGTTCAGGAGCTGGCAGCTCAGACACCATCTATCTATGACATGATGCTGAGGAGAGCAGATTTCGACATAAGGGTGCTTCTTGAATATAACACTGAATATTCTAGGATTCAAAAAGAAGTGGGAGTGGAATGATAGAGAGATTTAACGTGTTCTATATCATTTTTCTGTGAAATAATGAAAAATCACCCTGTATACAATCCAGCTGCTTTGGAGCACAGGTTTATATTCCGCACGCATGCTCGCTTGCCCTGGGAATCAGTGGTCTGTATACCATGGGCTCCACTTCCACACAGAGCCACCCTGGAAAGGGCCCCTCAAAGCAGGAGAGGAGAATGCCACTTACCTAGTCCTTTGACAAACTTCATAAGGCACATGATGTAACTAGTGGCCGCGTTAGCAAACACCTGGATGTTGTCAGTATTGAGGAAGGCTTCAAATACATCAAATACTGGAGCTTGGCCTTTTCCTGAGGGACAAAGGGAGTTAGGAATTAAGCAAGTTATACCTCTACTTTTCAGCTTGCCCATCCTCCCAGCACCTTCCAGAAAACCTAGGAAAGGAGCAAGTAGAAAAGCTCCCGGGCTTCTGACTAGACAGCTGGCTGGTCTCCTGTGCTGTGCTGCCCTCAACTTTGTCTGCAGGGGAGCTGTGGGACAGCTGTAGAGACTGAGCTTCGTACATAGATGACAACAAAGCCGGCTGAAGGCAGGGCTGAGGCAATGTGGAGGCCTCGGGGACAGTGAAACATGTGGGCCTCCAGAACCCTCCTGCACACATAATTACAGGGAAGGAAAACCTTAGCTAAACCTGTGGGGGCCTATATTAATTAATTAATTTATATATTTTTTAGGATTTATTTATGCATACAGAACTGGGGTACAGGCCAGAGGTACAGAGGTGATGAGAAGATTCACCAGAGACAGAGTGGGGAGCAGGAAGGCAGTTTGATGAAGTACACTGCTGAGGGGAGCAGCAGGCGAGACAAGAGAGGTCTGCTGTGCCATGTGGATCACCTCCGGGGCTGGGGATCGAACTTGCACAGAAGCGGCTGCGTCTCGCTTGTAGTGCTGTGTCCTCACCTGCTACGCCACCAGGGAGGGCCCCTAAGTTATTTATACCTGAGCAGAAAAGAGTTAACACAAAGGCCTTCTTGGCTGCTGACTGGGAACGTGGCGCACAGAACATGCCCAGGTGTGTTATCAGCTAACGGAGAGGGAGGCTCTCTGTGCCGAGACAGTGCAAATGACACAGCTTTCTCAGCACCTGCTTTTCTTTGGGAATTCTGGGTGGTGGTAGGACAGGTGCCCTGCATGAGCAGCTCTCATGCTGTGCCTCCAAGGGATTTTGAGGGCAGAGACATCACGTACACCTGGTTGCTTTTACACAGCTGGGGGAAGTGTGGGACCCCTCATGGGCAGGTGAGCACACCAGGGAGGCCCTCAGGGTCTGTGCTTTCCCCCAGTGACCTGGCTTATCCTTGCTATGTTGCCATATCAAATCTTAGCTGTGAGTCATGTAATAAACTGGAGTCAAGTCGTACATTTTAGCATACCTATGTGCTGCACCCCAGAGTTCCTCCGGAGGGCCTCTGAATGTAGGGGTGGCACCGAGAAGCACTGACATGGCACCCGTGTCACTGGATATGCGTTAGCTGCAGCAAGACCCAGTTTCCCTATTTTGGATTTCTTTATAATGCTTTTGTTTCTCAGCAGCAAGCAGATAACAGTTCTCTTTTTGGCTTTATGGCGACAGGTATGTATAAGGGAAACAAGAAAAGTCTCAATCTTTTGTACTATCTCTCAATAATAGCAAGCTTTGATAACTTCACTCAGGGTTCTCAGCCTGCCAGCAGAAATCAGAGCTGGTTCTTTCCTGCTGATATAATATGGCCAAATGCCAGTCTTTTTTGCATTCAGTTCCTTTATATCAAGCATGATTTGGAATAAAGAACTAATGTTTTATCGCAAGTGTCATCCACACCTTCTTTCCCTAACACCCCTCACCGATTCAAGTTCTAGCCATAGCAATTAGGCATCCAAGTAGGGTAAGGAAAAGCAAAATAGTTTCTGACTGCAGATGACATCTTTTATATACAAAACTTTAAAACACTTTACTAACTGACTGTTGGAATGATTCAACAAATTTCAGGATACAAAATCAACCCACATTCTTACCCAGCGAGTAATCACCAACCAGGTACTCCTTCACCTCAGACTTGTTCCCGCTGTGCACTGTTTCCAAGGCACTGAACAAGGGCCTCCACCCTGACTGGATTTGGGCGGAGCACACTTCCACCAGCTCGCCGATAGACGTGACCACCTGCCAGAGTCAAAGGAGTTGGTACTTAAAGCCCCTTCCTTAAAAGGCAGGAGAACTTCTGTGAAGGGTGATATTCTTCTCTGCTCTCTACGTCTGGATTAATTTTAGTAAGAGGAAAATATCAGAACCCATATCCACTCAAAAGTCTTCTAAATTAGCAGCCAGGCTGCATTAATTTGCATTTTGTTAATGATAATGTTGCTGAGAGCCTTGTCACATGCTTATTAGTGATCAGTAAGGCTTTTACTGACTTTTAAATGGGGTGGGTTTGTTGTACTATTATTGTTTAGTTTTGGAGGTGATGCTAGCATTTTATTATTTATTGAGTTCTTTCTGTATTTTAGACTCAAGTCCTTCCTGAGAGATGATTTGCAATACTCCCCCATAGCTTTGGGCTTGTCTTCTATTTTTCTAGTGGCATCTTCTGAAAAGCAAGTGCTTTTCAAATTTAAAATTTTGATGAAGCCCATTTCATCAATTTTTCTTTTTATGGACCACACTGGTATCATTTTTAAGAAATCTTTGCATAACCCAGAATTGCAAAAAATTTCTCCTATGTTTTCTTCTAGACATACTTAATAGTTTTAATCTTTGTCTAAGCCTGTGATCCATTTTGAATTATAATTTGTGTATGGTGAAAGAAAAATTCATTTTCAGTACACACTCAAGCACCATTTCCTAACAATAATATACTCTCCTCCTATTGACTTGGAGCGGACTCCCTGTCAAAAATTGTGTATAAATGTGCAGATTTATTTTTATGCTCTGTTTAGATCCACACAGCTACCCTTACACTAAAACCTCATTGTGTTGATTGCAGAAGTTGGTTATTTTCTGTTGTGAATAGTCTATTGAAGTTTCACCTTTTCTCCAGCAATGTCCCTTTTCTCTTCATGGATATGACCCATGGTGTTAGGAAGTTACCAGACTGCCAGGCCTAAGACTCCAATTGAACCTGTTCTCTTTCTGGCTTCCTCTTCTAAAAGGAGTAGATTCCTTTCATGAAAAGCAACCCCACACAAGAGGTGAAGCCCCTCAGCCCTCGACTCCCCAACCCTGGCCTCACAGTGAATCATCTGACTTTTTCTAGTTGTTCCTGTAAGATGATGATCTAAATTATGTAGTTCACTTGTTGTGGAATTCTCCAACCTAATTTTTAAGTATTTACTCAGGTATTCATTCCTTTCCATGTTTTGCTAAACTTCTTAGACATTATTACATTTTACATTAAAGATGTTTATTCCAACTCTTTCTATCATGTTATCTCATTTCAGCAGCTCCCATGCCTACTGCCTTGTTATGAGGTGTGATATTTCCTAAATACTGAGAATTTACACATCTTGGACCTTTTCTGTGGGCTTCAGGGGACTCTTACTTTTGTGTGGTTTAGTGTCTCAGACCATGAAAGGGCTAGTTTATAATTTCAGTTTTTATTAAAAACTTTTAACATATTTGTGATTGTATAGATCACAAATTTTAACATATTTGTGATTGTATAGATTTTGCTTCCCCCCACACTATCTACTCCCTCCCTTTCTATTAACTGGAGAATCCTCACTTCCATTACCAGTATTCACCAGAATAGCATCGTCTCACTTTGTCAGAACACCTGCTTTCTATTTTATTCATCTATGTGAACTAGTCCATCATTTGTCTTTATCTTTCTGACTTCCTTTGCTACATATCACTTCCTTGAGCTCCTTCCATTTTGCTATAAATAGCTTATAATTTTAAATCCTGGAGAGTTATTATTTATTTTTATCTCCACTAAGAGTCAATGTCAGTAACGGGCTAATAGTATACCCAGTAAGGTGATACCTGGATCCCTCTCTGACCTGGGCCTGGGTGAATACCATTCTGTAGTGTGCACTGAGATCTGCCTTCTGTTCTGTGGGCTTAAGAATGTGATGAACAGAACTTAGCATCACAGGATGACAAATTCCCTCATGGCAATTTGGTCTTGGAGCTCTGCTTCCTTCTCTGGGTTCTCCTTGTTACTAAGTTTTGGGCATATCAGTAATCCACAGTGTCACTGATTTAAGAATGATTTCTTTAACATTTTTATTGGATTTCAGAGAAAGGATCTGCCTGTGTTCCTGGCCACCATCATGCTGGCTAGATGGGAAGCCCCTAGCTGGTTTCTTAACCATGGGTCTTCTGGGAGGGGTGTGATAGCAGTTGAGAGGGTTAGGTATCAGGATACAGACCAGTCTAGCCAGATTGCTTTGGTTCAAATCCCTCTTCCACCAACCACTAACATGTATCCTTAACTACAGTGCTTAATCTTCATCACAAATTCCACACAGGATTATGGGAAAGATGAAGTAAGTAAAACTCAAGGAACACTGCTGGTCAGTGTACCCTGCAGGAACTAGCTGTGTTGCCAGGCTACCAAGACCACCGGCCTGGTCTTGGACATCCTCACAGACCACCGGCTGGTCTTGGACATCCTCGAGACCACTGACCTGGTCTTGAACATCCTCGTCACACAACTCCAGCTGCATAATCCGCTCAAAAGGCCGGAACAGTGCTTCGTTAAAGTGAAAATGCGGTGGCTCATTCCAGTCGGTAAGAACCTCTGTCAATATATCGTGGATGAAAGAAACAGCCTTCTGAGATACATGTCTTTCCTTGTGGCAGGCAGCCTGCAAGATTCACAAGAACACAACTGGATCAGAACTTCAGACAATACGACACTTGTTTCTGAAATTTCTCTAACCTGCCTCTTTGTGGGCAGGTGGAAGCAGCAGTTCTGCTAAAATAAAAAAAATAAGTATATTGAAAAGGAATAAGTGTAGATGAACAGCACATTAATTTGCATTTTTAATAATTTCACCACCTTATCTGACCAAAACTTCAATGTCACGTCAGTGTGTCTGGAAAACTAAGTTTCTTATCATTTTTCACTCTGTACATGTTAATTTTGGGGGGGTACTATAGAACATGCTGCCTATAATGATATTAAAACCTGTCTGGGATCTGCCCAGTTCCCATTCTTAGCCTTGTGCCAAACACATAGTCATCTGTCCCTCAACAAGCTGGGTTGACTGTACCATCACAGCTTGGAGGGGCTGAGCGTTCCTTGTCCACACCTGTTAGGAGCCCAGAGAATGAGCAGCAGCATGACTGGGGTTGCCTACTTGCCTTCCTTTGCCATCCTGAGCATGTCATATGCATTAAGGGGTCCTGTGGCTGGGGGATGAGAGGCCACATACAGGCCAGTCTGTACAGCCTTCCCAATCATGGTCATCATGAAGTAGCTCCCAGTCTTTCTTCCCAGCTGGCCACAGTTGCAGAAGCCAGGCCAAGTGACATCAGTCCAGCCTGGTTCCAACCAGAAGAACTGCCCAGCTGACCCATGGAATCATGAGTCAAATGAAGAGTCGCCACTAGGTTTTAGGTCTGGTTCATGGTTGTGTAATAGATAACTGCTATGCTGCTTTCCCATCACTAAAGTTGTTATTGTCTACCCTTTTCTTTCTAGAATATTCTCATGTTAGTGATTTGAGTTCCAAAAACGCCTTATTTCATGATCTAACTCTACTAGCTAAGCACTAAAGGGCTAGCAAGAATAGTTATCACTGCAAAACAGTGTGACAAGTTTCCCATCAACTTAGAAGCAGCCAGTTGTCTTAAAGATGCTTAAACGGGGAGCTACCGTACAGCCATCGAATGATCTGCTTCCCTGTGGAGAGGGAAAGGGACCCTAAGATTAATTTTGTTGGGGAAATTAGGACATATGGTTCCCCAACTTAGAGGGTGTTGCCTTGAGTGTTCAGCTATTAGAACAGAGAGCCGGGCAGGACAAGGGATTGCTCTAATCATTGGTAAAAATAAATCTCCAGACTCAGATGAGACTAGAGAACAGGAATGAAAAACTGGCTGTGTGAGGTATGGAGCAGAGGCTGAAAGACCAAGGGCGTGTGGCCTTTTGGGGTGGTTCTTTAGCTTTCCGGAAACACAGCTGGAAAACTATGTTCATGAGCAGCAGATGGAGTCTCCTTGAGGCCGTCGGTGCCCTTGCTCTGCCCACATAGGCCAGAAGCCCCAGCTGGCTCCCCCGTGGAGCTGCCTGCTTTTCCCTTCCGGGCCTCACCTCCACCAGGTGCGGGGCCACCAGGCTCCAGCAACGCAGCACGTGGAGCAGGGGCCGCGCTTTGCTCCGCACGATCCTCAGCATGGCGTCCCCCAGACGGAACAGGTGGAGGGCACTTTTGCGGTCTTGGGTGGATTTAATTTCTCCTGCAGGAAGACAAGACCATGAAAGCATAAAGCACAAGTCCAGAAACATTGGGGTGGATTCAAGAGCGCAGAGAAGATGAAAAGCAAAGAACCGTGCACTGGGGCCAGGTTACTGGGCACAGGCTGGGCTAACCGAGAGAGCCCTGGGCTCGAGAACTGCAGGGGGCTCATTCAACAAGCCCAATTCCCCTCTCCTGTTAGCAGTGTGCCCCTCACTCGTCCGTGGCAAGTGTGAGCAATGCCTGTTGATGAGGAGGAAGGACGCAGTGGTTAACGCAGGCTGGGATGGCAGGCTGCCTGGACTAAGCGCTGGCTCCCCCATTTAGGGTTTGGCTTGCGTTGCATCAGAGATGCGCCTCTCAATGCCAACCGGAATAGTAGTTCCCACTTTTCAAAGTAACTTTAAGGATTCGATGTGATAATATGCATGAAGTGTTTAACACAGGGCCTGGCACACAGGAACCAGGTCACACTTTCTGCTCTTAATTATAAACACAGCTAGTGTCATCCTTCACTAGCACCAACCACCTTGTCAACCCTTCATGACATCTCTGCAGCCCTTCTTGCAGGCTCAAGCTGCTGCCTTGAGGGGCAAGCAGGCAAGCGGTGGATCAGAGGCCAAGGTCAGGCCAAGGTCAGGTCTCTTTGCTGTGAATACAACACTGGTTCACCTGCTCTGGGCAACCCTTGCTCACTCTGATCTTTTGCTCCTTCCTTGCCACCGTCACCCTAGCTTTGCTCATGTCACATGCTTCCCCTTCCTGCCCAGGAAATGCTGATCGTTATCAAGCTCTTCCGTTCTCCCAGTGAAAATGCTCCTTTCCAGTCAGTCCTGACTCTCAAACTTGAAAACGTCAGTAGTAAGCATGTACATTTACTAAATGTTGACTTTGCTAAACATTACTAAACATTGACGTAATTAGACATTATGTTGGTTTTTTTGCATCTTTAATCCCTATCATTTTAAAAGCAAATTTTAAAATGTACATGTAACTACTGTTATTCAGTACACTGAATGCCAGGAAAGCAAACCAAAATGCTTAAGATGACATTGCTGAAAAGTAGTATAAGCGGCATTTTGACTAATATCTGATTGACCCCAAAACCAATTCTTTCTCCTCTGAGATTGGCTACCTCTTCCTGACCTTGTTCATTGCTTTTTTGCAACTCAGAGCCTGCTGATTTCTCCAACATAAGGACCTTGAAAGTTTTCCCTAGGTTCAAAGATGTTCTAGAAATTGATGGCTCCAAAAGGCTGATTTTATACAGCTGTGGTTCTTAAGTCTATTAATAAAGAATAGTCAAGGATGGTAGTTCTTAAACAGCATCTGTAGTAAGGAACAAAAGGCCAAAATAAATGCACTCTGAACTCAGATTTGTAAGTTCAGAAGGGGCCTCAGAGGTTGTACCATCCAGCTTGTCACCATCACAGCCTCTATGCCTCTGCCTGAACTCACCAGGATGAGGTACTCACTGTTTGAGCATAACCCGGCTGTTGCCGGTCAACTGCCTCTGAGCAACCTGCCACCCTGCGTAGCTCAGCCAAGTCCATTCCCTCTTCACACACCGGCCTTCACTCATGAAGCCAGTGATACTGACGCATCATTCAGGGACACACTCTGACAGCAGTTTTCCTAAGAGGCTTCTGCTGATCCTTCTGCTTTTCTCTTCCACTAACCTTCCTGGGATCAGCAGCTGAACTTGGAGGAGTGATATGAAGAAGGGTTCCCACTCCCCTGAAGTCACCAGCACCCTAAACAGCTGCACAATTTCTGGATCACAAGCACAAAACCTTAGCAGAACAATCTAGCACAGCTTCTGTGCTAACTCCTGTAGCAGTTAAGTTTTGCTTTACAAAGAATTTTTCCACACACCCCCCTCTCCCGGCCCCTGCCACAGGCCTCCAAACCTGACGACCAATCTGCACGTGAAATTGGCCATGGCGGCCATGTACTGGGGGGATGTGGGGTCACATCTGCAGGTGAGCTCTCAGCATCTGGACTGCCTCCTGCTACCCCATGGCACAGAGTCTTCAGGGAAAGGTTTACCTGGCATTGCCAGAGAGTAATCAACTGTATCCGTAACAGAGTGGAACAGCTGGGACTGGGACGCTTTCTTCAGCTGGTAAAGAAAACCTCCCAAAGCCATTAGGTTTAACTTATCAGTGGCATCTTCAAAGAGCCTGGATAAAACAAAATGATATGTTACTTGGAAATAATTCAGCAAAGCCTTTATGGCACAAAGTGATTAGATGTGATTAATGACTGTGCTGTGTGAACACTGCAGAGGAGTGTACGATACTATTATATTGTTACTGAGTACAAGGCTGCTCTAAACTGCAAGACTTTAATCTGCCATGCCGTCAATGTACCTCCTCATGGCCTCTCTTAGCCCTGGCAGCTACTCAAAATGTTTGGCAAGAAATTGAAAGAAGGCTAAGCATCCCTCCAGAAAGGATCACAGGGACATGAGTGCTTATAAGTAGCTTCCATTTCATGAACATGTATTAAGAAAAAGAACTCAGTAAGTTAATCAACAGTTGTTGGGCTATAATTAATGAGTATTTTGCTGAACATGGCCTGGGGAGGACATAAAAACAGAGTAAGCCAATCCTATAAGTCCCCCTGGGCAGGGAATGGCCTCATTCTCCCTCCAACTCAAAAACCAGCGCCCTGGTCTCGTTGGTGGGGGGGCTGGAGTAGCTACTGCAAGGATGAATATTGCTTAACATAATGGACCCTGTCGGCTCACGTTGTCTTCACTCAGATGGAAACAGATCTTTCTAGTGGATGGAATTAGGAAGGGGAGGACACGTATCGGGGCTCAGCGGTGGATCAGGGTACTGGGACTCGCCCCTCAAGGCAGCAGCTTGAGCCTGCAGGAAGGGCAGGCAGCTGTGTACTGGGGCGGGGGCCGAGTGTAACAGAAATGGGGAAGCCAGTTCCTCTTGAAGGGGAATGTGAGATAAGTTTTAAGATCGGCACTGGTAGATGAAACATGCAGTAATTTTTGAAACAGATACATTTTCTTGCTAGTTTATAATTCTGGTTCTGATAGTGTTTGAGTTCTAGGTCCTGTGAACCACTTCTCCGTTCCTAGTATGGCGGAATGGGGCATACGGTGTCCACCTGACATGTTTAGTGCGTCTCAGAGCACTTTCCAGCCACCACACTGGAGAAAGAGGACAAGGGGTGGCTGCTCTTGACTTACCATGGACAGATTCCATGCATGTCTTCCATGGGCACGAGTTAGAAGACGAAGAGTAAATTTCAGGGGACAGTTTATGCAGATGGCTACTATCACTAGAAGGACGTCAGTCCTCTGACTTCCTCAGCTGCTACTCTTACCCTTGACTGCCTCTTGTGGGTCCATCTGCTTAAACGTCATAGCACCCCATCTGGGGAGTCTGGGACACCAGGACCAAGTATGACTGAAGCTGTGTGACCCTCCATGTGACTGGTGTCACTTAACAGCTGGTTACTCTGACTTCCCCTCTTAGCCTTAATGTGTTTGTTGAGCCTCAATGAACAATGTTCCACATGCCTGAGCATAATACAAAAACTGGATTTTTACTGCTGTCCTAGCTCTGGCTAAGTGCTCCAAATGTGCTCCTTAACCTCACTACTGTCCTATGAGAGCTGCTTTGTGATCCCCAAGTTTATGATGAAGAGGTCGGGGCCCTAGAGGTGGAGAGGCCTGAGGTCAGAGTTGGGGTGCAACCTCAGCCGGGTACCCTGACCTTGGTCACCAGAAAGCAGTTCACTCTATGTGGGGCAGGGTGCAGGAGTTTGTTTCAGAAAAACCAAGGGGTTCACTGACTAACACATCAGGCGGTCTGAGGGATGATGTGGAGGTGTGAGTAGAGGGTAAGGGTGCTCTGTGGTGAGCGGCCCCCCTGGGTGGGGAGAGCAGGGCCACACCTGTCAGCCTGGGTGGAGAGTGTGAGCACGGCCTTGGCCGCACTGCTGCCAGTCATGAGGCTGCCACCCCGGAAGTCGGAGGCCCGGCCTCGGCTGCCTTCCCTGACGAGTTCTTGGAGGGAGAGGGGCTGGATGATGGGGGCTGTGTTCAGGGCGCTCTCCTGCTCCAGGATCTGCTCCTGGGGTGAACCCTCACACTCGGGGTCCCCCAGGATCCCGGATCCTCCAGATGCCTTCTGGGGCCGGCTGATGGTCAGAGGGGGCTGAGCCGAGCCGTCACTGAAGTGAGTGTGCTCCAGTGTGCCCACATACTCACATACCCTAGGGAGAATCAGACAAGCATCGTTAGGCCTCACAACTCAGCAGGGGCAGGTCCACAAACTCTACAGTGAGATACAAATGACGCCTCACAAGCTTTGCAGTCCTCCCACACTTTCTCCTGCTTGTCATAGTCGTTTCTCTCTTTCTCTCCACTCTCCCCACTCCCGCCCCCTTACTATATATATTATTGTTGGGAGTCAGATCAGCCAGCCTGGACATGGGGTTCCTCAGATTTTCTTACCTAGTGCTGGCCCAAGGGGAGGTAACAAGGCCCTGTTCACCTGTCCCGCTCTGTCCAGTTTACTGGCTTCTCTGGACTTTCCCCCCAGGAGCCCCCTTCCTACTAGCTATGCTGAAGAGGACTTGGGAAGCATGTCCTCACTTTGAGAGCCCATGATGGGTGTGCACAGGGATACAGGCTCTGGCACAGTGGGCTCCCCCTCAGGGTTCTGCCCAGCCATGTCTGTCTGGTTTCCATAGCATCATATCACTATGTTGGGGTGGGGTGGGAGTGCTCCCTAATCATGCCAAACACAGACAAGAGTCACAAGTTAGGGTACAGCGCCAACCGCTAAACTGTTCCCAATGGAGCTGCAATAAGAGGGTAGTAAGAGGTTCCTCATCTCAGAAAAGTCCAATTATTGCCAAAAAGCATCCTGAATTATCCAGCCTGGCAATGTTTCTGCTCCAGCTTACTTACTCAGGTACGTTTAAAATTTTTCCTTTTCTCTAAAGAAAGCAATAAAGATAACCCGCCTCCACATCACTTGGCTCCTGGCGATTCACCCTCTTCACATGTTTCTCGCAAGTGGCTTTTCAGCCCTTGAATAATTTGTGGGTCTTCTCCTGGAAACCGGACTGGCTCTCATGGCTGCCCTGACTCTGTGGATGCCAGAAGACAGGTGGCTGGCAGCCTGGCGACACCGGGGCCTGACCCTTCTGGGGCTGCCCTGTCTCCTGCCTCTCACTCCTGCCCCAGATGTGAGCTGGGAGCAAGACAGTGGGTAGGTGTAAGGAGAGGGACGAGGACGAGCCAGGCGGCTGCCCAGGGCAACCCCGATGCCAAAGCCTGTGCAGACAACCTTTTCTGTGAGTTGTAGGAGGGCTGTGGGCTGTGGCTCCATTTTATTTCAGAGGTGCTGGAAAGTGTCTGACAGAAAGTGGGGAGAGGAGAAGTTCTTTTCACTTTGAGGCAAACCTAAGGGTCAACTTTTGGTGCTTTCTTGGCACAACATACTGTTCTATTTCCCCCATGTCGAAAAGTTAGAAGTCGGCTTTATGTGGCACGCAAGCTAGCAAAGATCCTCTACATCAAGAGGTTGTGTAACCAGCAGCCAGGTTATACTGCGGCCCACGACCCCTGCTGTGCTGCATATAGTTCTCCTGACTGACACAGCCTTGTGCTATCACTAGGGATGACACACCTGCCTCTTACAGTCAATGGCAACAGATAATTCACAATTCCCTAAATCTGGTTCTGTCTCACGATTCTTCAAAATTACATTCAATTGGCTCCTTACCCTTTCTTCAATCTCTTGTTTGGAGTTATCCCAGGCCCTCTCAATATCATGATCTATTTATGTGCTGGCAGACTCTGGAGTCTAGCCCTACTCCACCCCAGGTTCCCACAGCAGGGTGAGGGTCTGGTTAGGCACCTGAACACATGCGGCCAGCAGTCGGGGTTGTGGCTCCCCATCTCCAAGCCCACGCTGAGGATGGCGTCCATGCACAAGACGTGGGCAGTGTGCAGCCACAACCCCTGCAGCTTCCCGATCTGCTCCAGTTTCTGCTCCACTTTTAGTTTCACTGGGCCAGAGAGACAGTTATTAGAATAACAGTCTAAGCAAGGGAGATGGGAAGGCAGAGAAAGAGGGTGAAGAGGACAGACTGTGCTGTTGTGCCAGGGCAGAGGGAAACAGGTTGATGCCACTGGCAGCCAGTGCCCCATAGCCCTTGTGGTTCGCCATGCAAACCACCCAGCCCACAGACCCCACAGATACTGGGGACCAGGAACTGCAGAAGTTAGGTGGATCCTGAGCAGCCAGTGCTGTTCCTCTAGGCCCAACCCTAGTTCTGGGTCAGGAAAACAGACAAATGGGCGTTATGTATCGAATCCAGCTAAGGCCATCTGGACCAGACCATCCCCTGGTCCACCTACTCAAACTGAAAATACAGAATTTCTGGTGCTCTGCGAGTTCTCTCCGAGACGTCTTTAATGGTATGTGCTCATGGTAGTGATTCCCTAAAGCTACATGTTTTATAAGTGAAAAGTACCTTATTGTTTTACTGAGTTTACTTTTGCATCATGATCTTCAAACAATACATCTTTACTCTGGATGACTAATGTGAAAGGAGGCAGAAGGTGACTTAACATGTCAATTATGCAAAATACCAGGTGAGGCCAAATGATAACATCCTCCAGGAATAAAGGCTTCAAGTCACCAGAAGCCCGGTCTAGGAGGGTAACTGAGTGAAGGTCCAGAGGCCTGAGAGCAGGCAGGACCCATCCCTGTCACAGGGACACACTGACTATTATGGTGTTCCACTTTTTATTTGTATATAATGTTAATATATAGTTTATCAATAAAATGTAAGGATTGTTGTGTAGGTTATGGCTGCCCACATTAATTAAAACTGGGATACTCCCTTTTCAATGAACTCTGGGGGCCGGGGAGAGCGACTTTGCTTTTTACTATTCTGTCACTACATTGGCCTAACCTGTTTTCTCAGCTAGAAACGTACCAGTTACTTCTTTGCCTATTTCACGTAGCTGCTGCATAGTATTAGAACACATTCTCATTTTTCCTTCTGTTTACTGCCTGCCATTTACCTTCCACAGCGTTAGGAAGGTCATCCTCTTTTGTGTTTTATGTCATTGACGAACTGATTTTAACATATTAAGCATCCTTTCCTGAATTCACAGAATTCAGATTTTTCTCAGACAAGAGCCAAGTCTTCCAGAGCCTCCTCTCGTGGATTCTTCCCCACTTCCTCCTCCTCCTAGAACACTAGCCATTCTCCTCTTCTCCACCATGACTCAGGGGTGCTCCAGGAGGTGCCAGGGTGGACCAGGTGACACAGCTGTGGCAGCCCAGTCATGTGGGCCTCGGGCATGGCCACATGCACTTGCCAGGGCCAGGAGGCTCGGGCTTCAGCTGTTACCTTGTGCTATGGCATCACCAGGCTCTTGTACCTCCTTTTCCTCTTTCTCTTCCTGGACACAGGAGGCGGCTGCCATTTGGGCCAGGGCTGAGGCGCAGTTAGCAGCAACTCCTTGAGAGGAAACAATGCGTTACTGCCTGATGGAGCTTGTTCTCTAAGCATTCACCTGAGAACCCCCTTCTAGGCCCCTTGTTTCCCATTGAGGCGATTCCCCATGTAGTGTGCAGGGCATCCCGCAGGCCAAGGGTTAGGAATGCTACTTCCGCCGATACCCAGGGCACAGCTCAGCCGGGCGGCCTTCCGCAGTCCATCCAGGCTCATGCAGATGGCGTCGCGCTCCTTTTGGTTCTGCTCTTTGATGCCTTCAGCTCCCAGAATGAACGCCAGCCCTTTGGAGCTCCCTGCCATTCGGCCCGTCAGGGGCGTTGATAGAGTGTCAATCAAGTTCTTCCAGCAGCCAACCAGGATATAGCGAGCGAATGCCACACCTGCAACATGAAGAGGCAGGTGTCACGTCTGGACACCTGGAGACCAAACAGCTGCCAAGGACTGGCATGGGAGCCTCTGACCAACCAGTTAGCAGGGCCGAGTTGCGTGCGATTTTACTACAGGAGATGCAACTTCATGGATTCTATTGCATTGTGTTTTGCTTTAGGCTTATAAATAATGAATGCTGCATCATTAGCTGGATGTGAAGTAACTTCCATCAGGTGATTTTTCTGCCAAGATAAAAAGTCTTAACTCATTTATATCAGCACCCAAAGATGCCTCATAATAATGAAACTAGTGTCTGCATATTCACAAACTCGAGATCCAAGTCATTACCTGCCACTGTGGCATCATCAATCCTCCTGCCCTGGGTGAAAGGAGACTCCGTGGAGGCTGAGGCCATTAGCTGGCCCCCAATGGCACTGCTCTCCAGGCCATCAATATCTGTCAAAGGAAAAGAGCAAGGTTTTCCTTGATCAGAACATGCCAGTTAAAGACAAATAAGTAGCTTCTACAGTGTTTATTTTTTTTCCCCAACAAATAACTACAGGATTTATTATGTATCAAAATAGCAATCTTTTGTCAGGATTTAAAATTTTTTTTAAAAAAGATTTATTTATTTGTGAATACAGAACTAGGGTACAGGCCAGAGGTATGGGGCAGTGAGAGGATCCACCAGAGACAGAGTG